ATATTCCAACTTAGGATTCTCATTATAATTTTACAAGAATCTGCCCTATCACCAAAATCTACTTGGGTCCTTCCCTTCTGTTCCCTCTGGCCCCAAACTTCTTTTCTTGACCTTTCTATCCTCCTCTTTTTGTAGAAATGCTTTTAAATCATTTGGGTTCTTCAGTTTACACCCCAACTTTCCCACAAATTCTGCCACTGAATCTTCCCTACAAATCTCCTTTTTGTCTAGCTTTCCAAGTTCTCCACAACTAACCTTCTCCTCATTCCTTTTCTCTTTCACTCTACTAGGCACTCTTTCTGTCCCATTTATACCCTCCCTTTGCAGTTCATTCCTCTCCACTTCACCCATTATCCTCTCAATTATCCCCCAGATCCTTTTATCCCTGCCATGTATTCCCACTACTGTCTCTCCTCCCCTTGTAATCTCATTGTGGCTTCCTGTCCATGGGCCTTTGACTCCAGGTTGGAAAAGGAATCTGGAACAATGGACACGGAACACTCATCAGTAGAAAAAACTGAATTGACAGGGTTGCCAGAGTTACCTGGTTTCAACTGAGGGTTGTAGGAAAGGGGCAGAGGAGGGTGGATGGTTTTCGAACCCTGTAAAGAACAATTGGAGCTTTCTGTCTCCTCGGGTTGGAGGGAAATATTCCCCGTCACATGGTTTACACAAATGCCTTTTTCTTTACCCGGTTGTCCACCTCTCTGTGATGTACCCTTGTTCAGATCTGGGTTAGCGTGACCAAACACCTTAATGGCTATTTGCAAGGGGCTAAACCTTGGTAAAGGCTTGTCCGAAATTTAGCTTTGGTCTACCCTGTAAAAGTTTACTGGAGTCTCCAAATCTGTCTTCTGTACGCCCATCGGATTTTCAAGAAAGAGCTGCTCTAGATTTAACTCCTCTCTGATCTGTCCTGCCTGGGGACCTCCTGCCGAGCCATCCAAACTTGCAGTCTTCTGAACTCCCCTCTTCATCACTCTCCGTGCTGCAACTTATCCATCCTTTGTCTTCCTCCTCTCTCTCTTCTAATTTACCCCTACAGTAATGCGGGTTTGGGCGATCATCAACACTGGAAATCTGCTCGCCACAGTCCGGATGAATGTTCCAGCTTAGGGGACGCTTTCCTCCACCTGTTCGCGTTTTCTGATAGCCATGAGAATCAAACTGATCAGCCTCCTCTTTTCTGGAAGAAGATAGACGGACATTTCCGTCTACAAACGTTTTGAGCTTGTCCCGCCCCACGTGATGACTTAAGTCGTCACGTGGCCCACTAACGGTGGTGAGTGGACCAAAAATTGGTTTGGCCATTCTAACACCTGGTTCAGAAGTGGTGGCCCTGTTAAGACGCACCGAGTTGCAAACTCTTTTGGCCACATTAGCATAGGAATGGCCACCTAAAGCTCTTGAATTTAATTTAAAAAAATTTGAATTAATTGCTTTTAAAGGAAGGCTTCGAGAGATGGAAAAACCCTGCGACTGTTCATTTCTCCATTTACTCTGTCACGCGCAGCGGGTTGCTTCTCTAATCCTTGGGTGCCACGTGTGCTCCAGCCAACTGCCACACCATCATCCCCTACTTCTGGTCGTCTCTCCCAAAGAGACACCTTAACTTCCGTTGCCAGCCAAACCTTATACCAGGCTCCCTCTGAAAGAATTTCAAGAGCACGAGGCAAGTTCTCAGGCTTCAGCCCTGCAACTCTGATCTCCGCTGCACGCAAACTTCTCAAGTTCAGCTCCAGAAGGACACCCCCTAGGGCTCTAACGATTCTTCCCAAGGTCTGTTCATTCCAGAGATTAAGAGGTAGTCCGGGGAGTTTGATCCAGAAGCTGCAGTCCTTTAGCACAACTTCGTTGCATAACGGAACCCAGTTTTGTATTTGTATCAGTCCTCCATCTACTTGGACTGTATTGAAACTCAGTTTTTCATCACCTATATTGAGGATGGCTTTCTTCTCATCAAAAGGCAGAACTACTGCATTACCTTCTAAGCCCAGTCTTTCAGCAACTGCATCTCAAACTTTCGTCCAATCCCTTACAGCCCTATCAGCCATTAACACCATTCTGTGTTCCTATTTGCCTCTCCCTTCTTCAAGTGCTAACTTTCAGATTCTAAATGAACTTGCTATCATAGTCTCTTGACAGCAGGGACTTTGCTTCTTGCTCTGCTACGGGGTGCCACAGCTTGTTGGAGCATCTTCAACCGTTTTGTTATCCAATCTTTCTACCGCCTTCCTTTCAATTTCTAAGAGAAAGGCCTGTATATTATTGGCGAAAGAAGTCCAGCCTCGACCCCTCAGTCCTTCCGGTATGCATAATACTTGTTTCTTGTTAGTACCAAAGTATTCTGTTACGATGATAAACCATCCTCTCCCATTCCTTCTCAGAACCGTTTCAAACCTTTTCCCACAACACACCACTGCATTTTTCCACCCTTCTTCCTTGATAGTGTTTACTGTTCCATCAACAAAGCCTGTCAGCCAGTAGCAAGCCTCCTCTGGTAATAGTAACGTAGCCCTACTACCTTCCCTGATTTTCAGATAAGCCTTGCCTCTTGTCCCTCCCTGTTCAAACAGGAAGTGTTTAGCTTCAATGCCCAGCTCCAACCTCCACTTCCCCACCGGCCAGTAAGCAGAAGTCATCTGTTACAAGTTGAGGGGCTAGAAGAGCTAGGAGCAGGCCAAAATGGACATAGGTTGAAGTAGCAAGAAATGATTTAGAGGCTTATAATTTAACAATGGATATGGTACTGAACAGAACAGAATGGCGTAGCAGGATTCATATAGCCAAATTCATATGGTTGGGACAAGGCTTAGATGATGATGAGAGAGGGAGAAGGGAAAGGAAACAGGGAAAAGCAATATTAAAGTAGTAAATTCACCTACATGATTTGAAGAGTTCTATCATTCTTAATAATTTCTTGGATGAAAATATGTTGTAGTCGCAGGCTCACAGCATACTACTGTAATAATCACTTGAGAGAAAATAATTGGTCATGAAGAGATTCAATTTTCCTTTATTTTATGCAATTTCTTCTTAAAATATCAATAAGATTGACACTGCAAATGAACTATTAAATTGGTAGGGGAAAGTGAAGAAGTGATGTGCAAGGTGGATACTGAAACAGAACTGTCCTATTATTTCTTGGTGTCTGACACACAGAACAAACCCCTCCAGTTTGTGCCTTTTTCTTGTTTCCTCACCTTTTTGACTGAAATTGACACCTGAAACTCAGTAAGCATCTTAAAGTGTAATCCATCCAGCCTCGGTCTATGATTGCAAGGCTCACTATACAGCTGCTTATAGAAGTTCACAATTGCCTTCTCTATCCCCTTTTCCTATTCCAGCAACTTTCCTTTAACTTGCAGCTTCTTAATGGAGTTCACCCTCCTTGTGTTGGCAATTATGTGAAAGAAAGCTGTATTATTGTCACATGATTTCAACCATAAAGCCCTAGAGTGTTGTCCCCCGTTTCTTCCTGGTGGGTCAAAGAGTCATACTCTTCTTTTTTTCTATTTCCATTATCCTTTCTTTCCTCTTCTCTTCCCTTGGCTTCCCACTTTCCTCCTCAGGTTCAATGTTAGCAATGATTCTTAAACGTTCAGCCCTTCTTTTCTGATCATTTAAGGATTTATCCTGCTGCCAGTTCTTGGTCTTTCTCTTTAACCATTGTAATTTTTGCTCATGATATGGATTACTGCTTCTTCAAACGTGGCTTTGGACTGTCGTTTTTTGATATTTGCATCAAACCCATCTAAGCCTAGTAAACAGTGCTCTAATTGGTAAGGATGTGACATCTTCGACAGACCCTCTGTATCCAACTACACCGGAACATGATCAAAAACTACCCTTAGCAATGCTTCGGTGCTTCCTGAGAAGTATTAGAAAAAAGATCCTCCCATTCTTCCAAACAATGAAACCAGATGGGGACCTCATTATTAGACCAAGTGCACTTCACTCCATTGAGTGGGAGGTTTTGTAGTTCCCACCTTTGAATGAACTTTAAGAATATTCTCATGCCTCTGTCTAATCTGCTACAGCCCTTCTTATCTTCAAGCCTTACTATAGCATTGAAATCACTGCCTATAGCCCATGACCTTTCCCATTTACTCCTTATTGCACTCAACTCATTCCAAAAAACATACTTCAAGGAGGTTTCAATAGGCCGTAAGCCACTGTTATCACCACTGCTGGCAAGTTGTTTTGCAAAAGTAGAAGAGAAATGCCTTCTGGCATTCCAATGAACTACAACACTTTGAAGATATCACATTCATTGTTAGAAATCATATTGGTTTTTTCTTTTTAATTCAAAAATAGTAGAAAATATGGGGGGTGGGGGTCAGGGAGAGTAGAGAGGATCTGCTGATGTGGCACGTGGCATCTATCCTTTTACAATTATAATATAGATTAGGGGCCATTGCTTGCTGTAATGGTAAGATTTTGGACTGACAAGACAAGTGAGAAAGCAGGTTCAAGTCTTAGAGCTGCTACTTGGTACTAAAAATGCTGAAGGTTAGGTCCATATACAGTCTACTCTCTCAATACCCCAGATAGCTGGTACTGATATTGGGTAATGGTCCTTCTTTAGCATACATAACAATTCATATATTAAACTCCTATAAGTGAAAAGCAGTAGCTTTGGGGCCTGACCTGTTGGAATAGTAGTTTTCCCCCCTTTCAGTTTCAGTTATTGTGCTTTGTACTGGTCATGCTGTTTGTAAAGGATGGGTTTTATTGCTAGCCATTGATGGCTTGTGCTAGTAAGGTTTTGCCTCTGCACCTGATTTTGAGAGTGAGAGCTTGTATTACTTCATTACTTTTTTATAATTAGTCAAACGTTGGTTTAAAAGAATTGAAAAGCAATTATTTGACATTTATTTGTCCATTTACCCACTTCCATGATAATTCAAAGATCGTTGTGTGAGATGAGGTATTTTGAATATTGAATTATAAAATATACACCAGTGCATTGATCTGGAACTACTCTTATGTCTGAGCAGGTTAGACGGAAATTTGGTGGCCAAGTTGAAGCCTTCTTTGTAATTTTGACAGCTTTTCAGTTCCACATGCTGTTCTATTGCACACGCCCTCTTCCAAACATATTAGCATTGGGCTTAGGTGATCACTTCTTGCAGCATAACTATACATTCCATTTTACTGCTGTTTTTCTTATAAAAGTACTATTTTGGTTTTCAGAAATTTGGAATCCATTTTGTACTATTGCCTAGTAAATCTGAAGTCATTGTGTGTTGATAGATATAAAGCTTGTGTAGTTGCACAGGGCATTCAGAAATTTGTTCTTTTATTTGTGACATTTTAGAAATGAAGAGTTCATTTCCATCATATTTTGGTTTAAGAGCCATTGTATGTTGATTATTTTATGTTCGAGTTAAACTTGATTATATCATCTTAGGCTTCTCGTGTGCAAGTGGCAAAATCTCTTGTTTTTGGCACATATATTGGTAGGTATGGACTAAAATAAGACCCAAGAATGTTGCTTGGAGCAGAGCATTGTGTAGTAAAGAAATAAGTCCAAAAAATTTTTGTGATAGAAATGTGAGTATTGAGATGGGTGAATGAAAAAACTATAAAGAATAAGGTCAGAAATGAACTCATTTGAAAGAACCTAGGACTGGCTCAAATAGGTGATAAAGTGAGGGAAAGTAGACTAAGATAGTTTGGTCATATGCATAGAAGACCATCTACAACACCTGTAAGAAGTGGTCTGTCACAAGTGGAAGGGGCTAGAGGAGCTAGGGGCAGACCACAAGAAGAAATGGGTTGAGGTAGTAAGAAATGATTTAAGGATTCATAATTTGACAGTGGATATGACGCTTAACAGAATGGAATGGTGAAATAGGATTTTTTGATCAATGAATGGTGAAATAGGACTCATGTAGGCAACCCCATATAGTTGAGACAATGCATAATGCATAGATGATGATACAGAAACATGAATCCTGTTTTGCCATTACGTTCTGTTCAGTGCCCTTCCGACAAGTTTGTAAAAAACATAAATAATCTTACAATTGGTTTATGATTCAATTCAATTCAACTTTCTCTATGATTTATGGTATATATACAATATTCGGAACATTGTTAGAGTGGTGTTGGATACTTGGATTAGGATTTTTTTTACAAGCCTAACCCTTGCTTTTAGCCATTTTGGCTTTGGTTATTAGATTAGTTCCTATTGTTTTGAAAATCATTACCATCTTTGTTATAATCCTGCAAGAAATAATGGTGTTTGTTGCTTTTTTTTTTGATCAATAACACTTTCATTAAATCATCAGTAAAGAATTTACAAGAGGAAGACAAACACACTTATCTTCCAAGAGCCACAAAGAGCCTCATGAAAGGAAAAAAGAAAAGAGGACACTAAAGTTACAGCTTAGCCCAAAACAGTGAATCCCTTTCTGCCCCTTGTTTAGCTAAACCGTCAGCTAGGGAATTAGCCGATCTTTTAACCCAACATGTCTTAACTTCCATCTCCCGCACCAGCCACTTGAATTTCCTCCTCTCGTTATTGTATTTCCATAAACCATTTTGATCTTTAGTCAGCCACCCTATCACCACCTCTGAATCCCCTTCAATTATGAGTTTCTTGATGTTCAACTCCTTAGCTTTCCTCCTCTTGTTATTGTATATAATTCATGGTGTTTGTTGCTTTTATTAATAAAAAGATAAAAATGAGGCAGTTGCAAGTCATTCTGTGTTGATAATTGGTGGTAACTTCCCCTAAAAAAGAGAAATCTAGCTATATATTTTAGTTTTAGATGGGAATCTTTAACTTCTTTAAATAAAGTCATTCTTTGTTGATAATGTCTACTTCAAGAATCTGCAATCTTTCCACAGCAGAGACTTAAACTTTCACATTCATATGCAGTCAACTTGGCTTATGGCTTTTGGTTGAGGGGGAACTTTCCTGCTACTTTGAAGTATCTGGTATTGATTCTCAAATTTTTGAAAATTGAGGTTCTGTCTGTGGTACCTTTTTTTGTTGATAATAAGTCGTTCATTATTTGTCCTGATTGTTATACTAGAACAATTATTGTTGCATGGATATGGATGTGCTTTAAGAACTGCTTATGTTATGCTATCATAAAAGCAAGTATATAATTCATGGAAGAAGAAACCAAGAGTCCTCCTCGAACCAGTTGCAATTTTATAATTTATAGGTGATTTAGAGTTTGATAGTTTTATTAGTTTTTTTTTTGAGAAAAAGGTAGAGTTTGATAGTTTTGAGTTTTTTTTTTTCGAAGTTATTTTTTAGTTTGTTGGTGTTAATTTGTGAGGCAGAGAGAGAAGACAAAGAGAAAGCCAAGAGTTCAGATCTGTTAGGGTTGATTAGTATGATCGAACCAACCTAGAAAGAAAGAATTTATATTAAACAAGTGAATGGACAAGATTGTCCTTACAAAGGAAATAAAGGTACAGTGCTGTATACTAATGTACATGCCTACTAGTTTACAATAAAGAAAAGGTAAAATTGCAAAACTACCCCTCCATCTTCTCTACACTCCCCTCAAATTGATGTTGGGGAACAAGCACCATCAGTTTGTCCATAAGAAAATTATTCCGGGCTTTGGTCATAGCTTTGGTGAAGAGATCTGCAAGCTGCAAGCTCAAAGAGACACGTGGGAGAGAGATGTGACCTGCAAGAAGAAGGTCACGAATGAAGTGACAATCCACCTCAATATGTTTAGCACGCTCATGAAATACCGGGTTGGATGCAATCTTGATAGCACTCATGTTGTCAGCAAACAGAGGGATGGCAGATGAGTGATCGGTGTTTGTATCATGAAGTAGAGCTTTGAGCCAAAACTATTTCACTGCAAACAGAGGACATTGCTCTATACACTACTTTAGTAGATGACTTGGAAACCGTTTGTTGTTTCTTGCATTTCCAAGAAACCAGAGAATCACAAAGGAATATACACCAACCAGTAGTCGAACGATGAGTGACAGGGCAGCCTGCCCAATCAACATCTACATAAGCTTGGTGCTGAGTAGATGAAGAAGATGAGAAAAATAAGCCATGAGACATCATGCCTTTGACATAACGAATGATCTAGGTGACTGTAGAAAAATGGGTTTAACGTGGAGCAAATACAAATTGACTCACGAGCTGGACAATTGAAGAAATATTTAGTCTAGTCATAGTCAGGTAGATAAGACTACCTACAAGCTGTTGATATAAAGTAGCATTAGGAAGAAGCTCACCCTCATCCTTACTCAGCTTACAGTTAAGCTGTAGAGCTGTATCCACTTGTTTGGAATCAATCAAGTGAGCTAGTGCAACTAAATCAGAGGCATATTTCTATTGGTTGACAAAATACCCTTGAGGACATTGCTGAATCTCAAGGCCAAAAAAATAGGTGACCGGTCCAAGATCTTTCATTTTGAAGGAGTTGCTGAGAAAGAGCTTCAAGTTATTAATACCATCCACATCATCTCCGGTGATAAGGATATCATCAACATAGACCGAGAGGAGAGTCAACCCTTGTGTTCGCTTGAGGGTAAAAAGAGATTAATCGGAAGCACTTTGCTGAAAACCAACCTCCAACACCAATGTATGGAAGCAGTCAAACCAAGCTCGTGGAGCTAGTTTAAGATCGTATAATGATTTCTTCAGTTTACACACCAAAAGAGGATTATCATAGTATCTAGGAGGTGGTTTCATATAGATTGTTTCTTGTAAATGCCCATGGAGGAAGGCATTCTTGACATCCATCTAATGAACTGTTCATTGTCTAAGAGCAATGATGGCCAAAAGTAGGGGGAATAGTTGTCATTTTAGCCACAGGAGCAAAAATTTTGTCATAGTCAATCCCATATTCCTGCTTGTAGCCTTGAGCAACTAAGCGGGCTTTATATCTGTCTAGAGTATCGCCTGATTTGAGTTTCACTGAGTAAACCCACCAATGATGGAGGCATTTGGGGGAGGAGAGAGAAGGTCCCAAGTATCATTCTCCAATAAGGCCTGAACCTCTGAGCCCATGGCATCTTTCTGTTAGACAGTTGCATGCCCTTAGATCCAATCAGAATGATGTACTTTATGAGTTTATTGTAAATGATTAAAAGTACATATTTGATTCATGTTCCCTTGGTATGTTCCTGTGTAATACCCTTAAACTGGACACTTAATGTGACTAGTGTTAGTTTAGAATGTTCATAGCTAGTGGGTCGGTCTGGGGAGACCCATCCTGATAAGGCTGACACTGTTGTGCCACCAAGTCGGTTGGGGTGGCCTGTCTCAGCTGCCAGGGTGAGACCCTAGGCACATACAGTGTAGGATTAATTGAATCTTTGAACTGGACCAGATTTCCAGTATTG